GACTCTGAGATCAGGGGTCGCATGCTCTACTATATGAGTCAGCCAGGCACCCCTAAGGGTGGCTTTTATTTTTATTTATTTTAAAAAAGATTTTATTTGTTTGACAGACAGAGATCACAAGTAGGCAGAGAGGCAGGCAGAAAGAGAGGGAAGCAGGCTCCCCGCTGAGCAGAGAGCCTGATGTGGGGCTCGATCCCAGGCCTTGAGATCATGACCCAAGCCGAAGGCAGAGGCTTAACCCATTGAGCCACCCAGGCGCCCCTAAGGTTGGTTTTTAAATGAGTCTTTTGTTTGTTTGGTCTTGTGCAATTTACTCACTCTGACACCAACATACCAAATACAGAATGTGTGCTGTGAAGACAGCCAATAACAGGAAAGAAAAATACTCTTTAGCAGCTCTTGCTTGTATGCTGAACAGGAATTTACATACAACTCAAGTTTGGCATGTTCTATCAATGTTCTAATCCAGTAAATAAATTGCACTTAAGTTTTATCAAGGCACTGAATGGAAGTGATCATTCAGATTTTTTCAAACTTTATCATACTTTATCATGTCTTATATAACTGCTTATGCAATTGGAAAGTTTGTCTTGTGATTTTAACATTTTAAAAATTATTTGCCCCAAGGGTATAGGTCTGTGAATCATCAGGCTTACATATTTCACAGCACTCACCATATCACATACCCTCCGCAATGTCCAATGATTTTTTTTTAAGGATTTTATTTATTTATTTGACAGACGGAGATCACAAGTAGGCAGAGAAGCAGGCAGAGAGAGAGGAGGAAGCAGGCTCCCTGCTGAGCAGAGAGCCCCATGCGGGGCTCGATCCCAGGACTCTGGGATCATGACCTCAGCCGAAGACAGAGGTTTTAACCCACTGAGCCACCCAGGCGCCCCATCCAATGATCTTTAATTGTGGTAACTCACAAAATGTATCATCTTAATGTACAGTTCAGTAGTAGTATATCCATTGTTGTGTAACGAATCTCCAGGAACTGTTTCATTTTGCAAACCTGAAACTCTATATCCATTAAGTGACCACTCATTTTCAGCTCCTCCCAGCTTTGACAACTACCATTCTTTTTCTGACTTTGACCACATAAGTCATGTAAGTAGAATCATACTTACAGTAGATACAGTATACTCTCCCCTCCCTTTTTTGTCTGGCTTGCATCACCTTAGCATAATGCCCTCAAGTTGCAATGTTGTAGCATATGTTAGAAATTCCTTCCTTTTGGGGCACCTGGGTGGCTCAGTTGGTTCAGTGTCTGCCTTTGGCTGGGGTTGTGATCCTGGGGTCCTGAGAGTCCCATATCCGGCTCCCAGCTCTATGGGGGCCCTGCTTCTCCCTCTGCCTCTCCCTCTCTGATGAATAAATAAGATCTTAGAAAAAAAATTTTTAAAAATTCCTTTTTAAGGAGTAACAATTTCTTAATTATTATTTTGAATGTTACTTAGGATAGATAATATTGCATTGTATGGATGTATCACATTTTGTTTATCCATTCATCCACTGATGGACATTTGGGTTGCTTCCACATTTTGGTTATCATGAATAATGCTATGCACATGGTATACAAATCAAAGATCCTTTCAATTCTTTTGAACATCCACCCCTAAGAAGAATTGCTAGATCACATGGTAATTCCATTTTTAATTTTTTGAGGAACCACCTTACTGTTGTTCCTAGCAGGTGCACCTTTTTACAATCCTACCAATAATGCATGAGGTTTCCAACTTTTCTACATCTTTGCCAACACTTTATTTTTTTGGTAATAACCATCCTGATGAGTTTGAGTTTGCTTTGAATTTTCGAACTGTAGAAACGAATGTGTATAAAATAAGTGGGTGTGGTTGGCTAACATTTAGAATAGTATCTGCTACAGAGTAAATTCTATGTAAAATTTGTTAAATGCACAAATCAGCAACACTTATAAGCTGGAAAGTGTTAATTCTTTAAGTTATATGATTATAGGGTAATGACTAAGTTTTAAATAAAATGCCGCTGAAGTACCAAGAAGAGGCTACTCAAACTTTCAGGGAAGGCTTCCTTGTCCTCCGAGCTTGACAGATAAATAAAAGTTTAAGCAGGAAATGGCATTCCATATTAAAGAGAGAACAGCATGTTCAAAGTCATGGGAATGTAAAAAGAAAAAATGTAGAAAAAGTCAGTTATCACTGCAGGTGGCAGGCGAGACCAAACCAGTGCTGACTATTCAAAGTGAAGGTGGGATATTGTCGAAATGTTAATTTTCTTTATAGTAATTTAAAGTGTGGCTTCATTTCCGGCACTAGCTGTTCTGTGTGCTTACGATTCAATGCTGTTCCATGGCAGATTTTCTTAAAGACCTAATATGACCCCACCATTCATACGAGGAAATGAAACACAAAGAGGCTTACTTATAATGACGTACCTCAAATTCCTACTGCTCAGAGGCTGAGCTGGAAGTGAAACAGACGCAGGGTTTCTCCACTATCGCCGGCACAACTTCCTCAGGTCTCTGCACTGGCCTCCTGCCCTTCAGAGATGGAAGACCAGGGAAAAGAACGGGGTAGTTACTTTTGTAAAGATTAAAACCCCCCGCATTAATTAACGTACTGCTGTCTTTTCCAAAGTAGTTTCATAAGCACCATCTCCAGATGCTGGTACCATGTGTCTCCTCTGCCACGCATCTTATTTTTCTCAAACAAGAACACTTTTGTTCTAGTTTCAACAGTTTCTCTTGCACTGTTCTCTAATAAAAACAGGTTGCAGCAATAATCCCAAGTCCCGACCAAAAGTGATCAAACTGAAATGGAAACAGATACACTACGAATGCAGGAACACTATATTTATTAGGTCAATAATTCATTTTTAGCAATACAAGTACAGAATATATCACAATGCTGGTTACAAACATACTTAGTATGGTTCCAATGGTTACAAATAATGGTGGGCACTACAAGTTTTTGTTAAGGATGATATGAAAGATCATTCTGACACAATGAAGAATTGTCTTAAAAAATCTATCAATGACCCTAGATATTTCTATAGAAATTACTGTGGCACTATTAGTGGGGATTTTCATGTAAAGAATTGTTAGTAATTTGTTTCATTAAGAGCTCTTGAGCCTATTAAACTAAAATCCCCTGTTGCTTAATAAAGTATAAAAATAGTACTGACTTGGTAATATTTAATAAAATGTAGCATTCATTCACATCATAAAAGTAGAACTAAATTGAAAAGTTTTTAGTTACCATGGCAACACATCTTTCCATAAAAGGAATATACAGAAATGAGTAATGTTACACAAATGGTACCTGCAACAATTATTTAGTGATCCAACACTTAACTTGTGCACCACAAACCAGGTTTTCTAGATATCTATATATAGCATATATTTTTAATCTTAAATTTTACTTTTGAAAAAAAATGTGCACTTCAACAAACTCACTAAGGCCACTCATGCTATAGATACCTAGGATTGCAATTAAAGAATAGTATTACTTAATAAGCACACTCCTTCAGATCACCGACAGGGTAAAACCAGTTTTCTGCCTAACACATTCCTGAGATTTGTGGACAATACAACTACTAGTGTTCAAGCTGGAGAAAAATCCAAATGTCCGATTAAAAAAATTTTTTCTTTCCTAGCAAGAACTGAGGTCCTCCAAAGCCAAGAGGTGAAATATATACATTAATTTTTAAAGCAAAAATAAAACTCTTAAAAAAGTTCATACTTATATAAATAAGTATTTTTCCAGTAGTAACTTTGTCATCCAGAAAGGGAACAGTTTTGCCAGCAGCAAGGCTATGAATTCTAGGGAAAAGATAAAGACCAAGTGGCAGTTAAGAATACCTGCTACTTAAGCAAACCATCGTTCTGAATTTGTAAAGTATGGCCAAAAGCTTCAGTCGTGTTTTAGATGTTGACTGCTCAGCACTCTGTTTGCATGTAAGGAGCCACCAAATGGCACTCTTGTTTATTTATAAGGTAGCAGCCTCTGTACTTAATTTTCACAACATTACGAACTCTTCCCAAGCAGGCTAGGAACAAAGGCCTTTGTCAAATCTTTTATTTTCACAAATGAGTGCATACCTGCACATAGATTACTACAGAGCAACAGTGAGTTTGTTTTTAACCAAGGAGACAGCGCTTCAATGACAAGAAGGGTCCTAAAGCTTTGGGAAAGTCAGCTTTGGGGACCCATAAAAACTGTGGTCTGAAGAGCCCCATCAGTTCTATTACACTGGATGCAGGAGGGACTGACCATCTGTGTGGCACAGGAGGATCACAGAGTCCCCTGATGGACCCAATCTGAGTAGCACCAACTTTAGGAAAAAGACTGGGTAAAAGAGAAGAAATCAAAGTCAGGAAGGATGAGACCAAAGGCCCCTTATTTAACATGACTTTGCTGTACTTCCAGAAAAATCTTAAAGTTGGTCTAGGCTTCCTTATACACAACCCCACCATATGTGAAAAATCTGTGCAGCTTATTGGTTATTGTGAGGTACGTTTCATTCTTTTCTTTGTATTCTTTTTAACCCCATAAAGCAAGGTAACATTCACCTCTCTAACCCACCTTAAACATCCCCAGGAAAAGGATAAATCCCACACTTAGAATCATTAGGGTATTATTCTTCATTACAACCTGAATTAATAGCATACTATTTGTTGTATCACTAACAAGCTGTCAATCTCTTTTTTCAGCCTACAGTTTTTGCATTAAATCAAAGTGTACAGATTTATAGAAAACTACATGAAAGCAGTGGTAATAAAGGGAAACTAGTGATTTTTTTTTTTTAGAAAAACTGGCTGCCACATAACATTATCACCCTGTGATCTTAGGCTTCTAAGTATCATGTTGCTTTATCACTGTGAGCTAAGTAGAGCTCAAACTGAATTAAGAGAGGATGAGGCCTTAAGTTATTTGCTTTATTTTATCCTAGGAAATGCTACATGTGCACAAAACCAAAAGATACACATTGATTAAAAAAAAAAACTTCATATGGAAACGTTAAGTTTCAAAATATTTATTGAAAAACAATTTACCATGACATTCCTATACCACAAACATACCACAGGACTCTAAATAACCAACAAAAGTATACAAAGCCTATCCTGGAAATATCTTTGGAGGTATTAAATATATAGGCCCATGAGGATAGAGCTGAGTAACTTGATAAATGTTAGTCCTTGGTCACACAGACTATTTGGTAATTAATAAAGAGGTGCCTCTTGGCATTAGACTGCAATTAACTGCGAGGGGAGGTGCAGGTGTGCCAATGTACTCTTTAAAATGAAAAAGAAATAATTCAATTTGAGGAATAAACCCAGGTTTTGAAATCATAGTTACAGTCTTAGTGTCTGGGCTTGCTTCATCTCTTTATGTACCTCCCCAGTCAATCCCCTCCTGGGGACTTAAAAACACTGGCTCGTGTTTTTAAGTAACTAACAAGACTGCAATTAACAGTTTTAAACAAGATTAGGTTTGGGAAGCCCAAAAAGCGTTTAAAATCAAATTTACCCGAAATCTCCAATTAATTTTTCTGTACTCAATGTGGCAGTTTACATTTCTTCCCCCCTCCAACCCTAATGTGCATGTTAAAAGAAAACCAAAATTCAACACACATCCACTCACCCACAGACTACTCCAAGCATTAGCCAAGAGCGACATCTCTGACAGCCAAGTCATGAACCCCTGAAAATAGGGGGGGAAACCCTGATTCTTAACTATAGAGGCACCACATAGGCCACTATAGTAAGAACTGAGGTAACAGCAAAAGACTTTGTTTCTTAATTGCTACATGTCACAACTTTCCAAATTTGAGTATTAATTACCTCAACATTAAATAACCTGACTGGCATAAGATTAAAAAAAAATCAAAACCCAATGAACAGGAAGACAAGTTAGTGACACATATATAATTAGGGGATCTCTGCACTTGACTCTCGAATTTCAAAGAAAATGACATAGTTGTACTATTATTTACCATAAAAATGAAGGATTTCTAAGAATTGCTTCTTTTGGGCATTCGTTTTTCCATTAATCCCCACAAGCCATATAGTAACCTGAAATTCCCACCCATGAGCTATTTCATGACTCTTAGCCAATATACTTGTTAATTGCATTGATTATTAGGATAACATTTAAAATGAGGGGGATGGTTGCAGCAGATATTTATAGACTTGCTTATGGTATTGCCATCTGTGCACACAGACTAAAGATATGCCACTGTAATTGCCAAATTTCCCTGGTTTGGTGTCTAATTACATGAATATAATTTTTGCATTATCACTTTTCATTATACCTCTAAATGAAACATTCTACTGATAAAAGTATATGCAGGGGCTAAAATAATAACCTAAAGCCTCTGGTCCAAATAACCCCTTTCTACATTAGGCTGGTCCTTTTTAGGTCCTCCTGGTCCTATAAGCAAACGCTATCAGAGCATCTTGCATTGTTGTACCGAAAAACCCTGAAACAACCAAAGGGTTAATAAAACTGCTGGTCTGTCAGCTTTTCTATTACTTACAGATCAACACTGGTCCAGTTCAGATGAATCTGACAGTCCTTCCCTTGTAACAGAGCTCTGGAGTGGTTGCATCCACTTCTCTGGGTAAGGTAGCCAAACCTAAGTCAGGATGTCCCTCTTCTACTAGCACTGTGTTAACTTTTCTATACTGCATATAAAGATTTTCCCCATAAAATATCTTTACAATACAGTATTGAATACCTCCACAAGGAAGAATATGTTAAAAAGTTGTAAAAATCATCCTTACATAATAAGAATGCAACTCTTTTAAACTCTTAAATAGTTTTATTTAGGGGTTCTTTTCAGGCTTTCTGCAAAATGAATTATTTTTTAAAATGGAAAAAAAAAAAAAGATTTCCTGTTGTTTGTTCTACTAGGTTGAAAATATGGGCCAGACTACTTATACATGCGGTACATGCTGAATATAACTGAATATATGCTTATTCCTACAGACACTCTGCAAGATAGGGATCACCCAAATAGGGTCAATGGACTGGACCAGTGTTTCAATGCAAATTCCAGCCCCAAAAAACAACATGGTTTTGATTTCACAGTATGAATTCCCTGGAATCTGGGAAAAGGTAAATTAGTTAACTGAGGTCCTCCCTCAGCAGCTCGGTCCCTCAACACTCTGAGAAATCAAGAAGGACTGCACCACTTCTTCAGTGGACTGGGGGCTGGTGTTGACATCTTCAAGAGCATCGGTCACTGAATACTGACGATCTCGCAACCGGTTCCAGTTAGAAAGAACATTGTGATATTCAAACACTTTCTCATAATTTCCAATGGAGTTGTAAAGTTTAATGAGACCTCGGTAATCATATTCTAGTCCACTGTAGCCTTCACCAAACAGTTTCTTCCCTGAAAGTAAAACACATATACACACACGCACAAAAGAAAGAAAGAAAGAAAGCTCAAGTAATGAAACAATAAGAGGTTCTTAAAAGACAACACAAGTTCAATTCTTTAAATAAGGTGGCTTCATCTTATTCCCTAGGCTGAGGAACTAATGAGATCGGGTACCCAGAGACAAGATTAATATCAGAATTGAGAACTTCTGTTCTATGAAAGGTACCATTTAGAAACAAGCAGCCGAGTTATCTATTTGCAAAATATATAACCAACAAAGGGCTTGCTGCATCCATAGTATATAAAGACCTTCTGTAAGTCAATAAGGAATGACAGACAATCCAATATAAAAATAGGGAAGAATTTTTTTTCTTAAGTAAACTCTAAAACTTTAACACAGGGCTCAAAGCCATTTCCCTGAGATCAAGAGTCACATGCTCTTCCAACTGAGCCAGCCAGGTGTTCCCAAAACAGGGAAAAATTTTAACAGGCACATTAGATGATAATTACAGTATCTTATTTTGTAACAGGCCCAAAATGGAAACAATCCAAATGTTCTGAATACCCATTAACAGTAGAATGGATAAATAATGATATACTAATCCAATAAAATATTATATAACCCTGGAAATTAATAAGCAATAGTGTTACAGAACAACACAGATGTATTTCACAATTCATGTTCACCAAAATGTAAAAATATACATCGTATGATTCCACTGATATTACATTCAAAAACTGGTAAACCTGATCTATGTTACAGCCAGAAGAAAGGTGATGAAGGGCGTACTAAGTAATTAGTTTAGAATAACTGCTTTTGCCTATACCTGATACTCCGCCTCAACTGTCATTACTTCTTATCACTGGCTTCAAGATCAGTAAATCCCCTTTAGCAAAATGTTTGAGATGGTTTTTGGGTGGCTTCTGGATATCCTTAGCAGCTCTAAGCTCATTTAAATCTTCATAATTACACTTCCCTTACACAACATACAAGATATGTTACATGTTATTTCTAACCAACTAAGAAATTTTAAAAAAACATACCAATTGCTATAGATCGCAAATAAAGTTTCTCAGCATTTTCATACTGATTCATGTCATAATTGTATAGAGAAGCCAGATGTCCCACTGAAAGGGCTACTTCATAATCTTCTTGACCAAGAAGTTGCTCTTTTATCTGAATTGCTTTGATATGCATTTCTTCAGCTTCCTGAAAAATAATTGAGCTGTTTTAGCCATTAGACTATACTCTCATAGTAACAATTCTTCCCAAGTAAGACTCTTCTAAGTGCTAAGGAGATCAGAGGACATAATATGTTAATCCAGAAGTTGCTTATGGGAAGCATTACTGGTTTGGGCAGCTATGCACATAAGCTGATGACAGTAAGTGTTCTACGCCAAAAATGATGAGAAAATCTGTCCTGGTAATGAAAAATTGTTAGAAGAAATTAACATAAAAACTTTCCAAAATGCAAATTATTTCTTTCTTAACATGCTCCAAAATTTAACTGAACCTTGTTAAGAAACTCCATACTATAGTACATTCAGTTACATAGATACACACTTTATTTTGGAATTCTGACAATTTTTATTCCAACAAAGAAAACTCAGGTTGAGTGAGGGATATGTAATGGATTTTCAGGTAAAAAATAGTATCTTAGGCAGTGACTCTCATCCTGTCCTTATTGTGACCCTAAAATGAACAATATTAAAAACTTATAATCCAAAATTTTTAGAGAGAATTCAGTAAATTTTTATCACAATTAATAATACTTGCAGTATTTGACATTTCTTGTGTACCTACCACATGCCAGACATTATGCTAAGGGCCATACTTTTTTTTCTTTTTAAAGATTTTATTTCTTTATTTGAGAGAGAGAGAGGGAGAAAGAGAGAACATGAGCTGGGGGAGAAGCAGACGCCCCATTGAGCAAGGAGCCGGATGATGCCAGAATGATCCCAGGACGATCCCAGGACCCCCAGGATTATGATCTGAGCCAAAGGCAGACACGTAACCTACTGTGCCAACCAGGAGCCCCTGGTAAGGGCTACACTTAACAAAGCTAACATTATGTTGTTGTTTAAAGATTTTATTTATTTTCTGAGACAGCGAGTGAAGACAGAGAGACTGTGTGTGTGTGCGCACAGAAGCTGGTGGAGGGACAGAGGGAGATAATCTTCAAGCAGACTCCCCGTTGATTGGGGAGCCCAACTGAGGCTCATTTCTCACAACCCATTAAGATCATGACCGGAGCTGAAACCAAGAGCTGGATGCCCAATTGACTGAGCCACCCAGGGGTCCCTGTTTTTGTTTTTTTTTTCCTGAAGTTTTTATTTATTTAAGTAATCTCTACACCCAACGTGGGGCTTGAACTCATAACCCTGAGATCAAGAGTCACATTCTCTTTTGACTGAGCCAGACAGGTGCCCTGCTAATAGCTATGTTTTAAGCCTAACTATAATAACCATATTAACCTTCATGGTTTGATATGCCTTATTTTTCCATGGTTTAGATTTTGAATTTTATTTATATTTTGACTCTGCTGTTTTATGTTATTTTCTCAATTCTTTTGTGGAACAAGGTAGATGTACAGTAAGTGTACATTTATTAGTGAAGACTACTGAAGATATATTATTTAAGATTATAATTTATTACCTAAAATTATTTACTGAGAGAAAAAGATAGTAAAACATGCTTCTACCTTAAATTTTCTCATTGACTGGTAAAGTCTTCCAAGGTTTCCATAGTGTTTTGCAGTCTGTACATTAAATTCCCCAAAAGCTTTCTTAGCTAGTTGGAGTGAAGACAGGTGCAAATCATGAGCCTCTTGAAGCAGCCTCTGTTCAGTTTCTTTATTATGACAGTCAATTGCAATCTCCTCTAAAATAAGAGCTGATTAAGAAAGCAATAAAATTAGCACACTTCCAAACCATCTATCAAAGCTAATCAGAGCACATAATTTAAAATTAAATTCTATAAATGTTTGTGTTTATGGTTTAGAAATGGTAAAGATGAGTTCCATGTTAATAAAAAAATGAACTTTTGGGGGCCATTCTAGTTTGCACAATATAATGAACTTAAAAACAATGGTATACATCAAGTATTTTGCAGAATTTCTGCTTTACTAGACTATTATATTTTGCTGATGTGAGTTTCTTATTTAAAGCAATGTAAGACAAGGCAAAGGCAAAATTTCAAAGTTATGAAACTGTGTCAAGGAGTCCCCAAGCACTGCTGAACATTTTGAAACCACACTCCTAAAATATAACCTCTAACCAAACACAACTGAAAGAACTGGTTTCCTCCTACTCACTTGACTAACCAAATCAGGCAAGAAGACAGTGCAATTTCAAAGTCACATACAAGACTTTCAAAATCCATTTAAAGTCTTAAAAAAAAATACATTATTTTTTATGAGATAATTTTATTTCTAGGTAAATTGTCCATATGTGCAAAAGTAAAAGAGGTTTAGTCCGTTATAGCATTTTTAAAGAACAAAAGGATATATATCCACAGGTACTACAATGAAAAAATATTCATAAGGTATTAAGTGAAAAAAGCAGAATATAAAACTAAAGAAATTCATTCATTTCATTATTTGGAGGGAAAAATGTCTAAAAAATATTCACCAAAATGCTGAATCTGGATTGGTGGGATTGCAGGTGACTTAATTTATTATTTTCTCTTTTCTAACTTTTAATTTTTATAACAATTATGTATTATTTTTAAGTTAAAAATGCAAAACTAAAGGGAGGAAAAAGAACTAGTTCCAGAATTAAGGTAAAATTTCTCCAGCATGCACAGAATTACCACACGGGTGACCCAATCATGTTGGCAAAAAAAATGCTTTCTAAATGAAAGGGCTTTGGTAGTGATTAGAAGAAAGGTTAAAATAAGTAAAGAAGAAAGTGGTATTTGGTAAGAGCCTTGCAACATGAAGGGTAACCTGATACAAAGCTGAGCTTCAAAATCCTACACTGTAAGGCTGAAGGTACGTGAAAAACCCATGCTACTGTGCAAATAATCATGTTATTCTTTCTTTTATCCTCCCCTCAAAAGAAATGAACGAATGAAGGCATGACAGAGAGGAAAAGGGAGTGGTGGGGGGAGGGAGGGAGGAAGGAAGGAAAAAAGCAACAAAAGATATTCTGGCTTATTAACAATGCTGTATGAGAGAAGCGAACCTTTTATTATGAACCACTGGAAATTCCTAGGTAGAGCTACAGGCAGATACTTTAAATCAGTGACTTGGTTATCTTAGTAATATGCAGATATAGTCTAACCCTAAGGCTACCATCCAAAGAAATAAACAAATAGCCTGATTTTAAACTATGTATCTTTAAAATATATGACACCAGACATCTATTACAACTGACAGCAGCAAAAGAAATCTTAAACACACACACACACACACACACACACACACACACACACACACACACACACACTCTGGAGACTAATTGCAAAGGGTACCTTTCACCCTCTTTGAAGAAGCCAAAAGAAGATGATCTTCAGGTAGGATGTGGGTAATGATACCAATAGCTCTTTCAGCATGAAATCTGTAATACAGACAAATATATATTCTGGTATTTCTTTTTAGGTACAAATAATTATAGCATTTTTTTAAAAAAATCACAATTTATAATACTGATGGAATTTCTAAAACTATCTGTGGTAAAGGTACTGGTTTTTGTTTCTTAAATTTCTAATCTGTTGTGGACTGAACTTTTAAAATATCCACTGGATTGGGGCACCTGGGTGGCTCAGTGGGTCAAAGCCTCTGCCTTCGGCTCAGGTCATGATCCCAGGTTCCTGAGATCAAGCCCCACATCGGGCTCTCTGCTCAGCAGGGAGCCTGCTTCCCCTGTCTCTCTCTGCCTGCCTCTCTGCCTACTTGTGATTTCTGTCTGTCAAATAAATAAATAAAATCTTAAAAAAAAAATCCACTAGATTTCCATCTCCCACAGAATGAACTGTGAAGTTGTTATCACAGCCTACAAGGCTCACCATATTCTTTCCCTGGGCTACCTGTCCGACCTCATCTACCATTCTCAGAAACCGCCCTCTCCTTCTCCTCCAGCCACACAGGCTTTTGCAGCTTTCTGAACATACAAAGCATACTCTCATCTAGGACTCTCGCACCTGGTTTACCGTCCCCTATGGAATACTATCCCCCTGACTATCTACCCACATGGCTCACTCTTCAATGAATACCCTTCTCAGACCAGTTTGTACAAAAGTACCTAAAAGGGGTGCCTGGGTGGCTCAGTTGGTTAAGCGACTGCCTTTGGCTCAGATCATGATCCTAGAGTCCCCGGATCGAGTCCTGCATCAGGCTTCCTGCTCAGTGGGGAGTCTGCTTCTCCCTCTTACACTCCCCCTACTTATGCTCTCCCTCTCAAATAAATAAAATCTTAAAAAAAAAAAAAAAACAACTAAAAAAATTTACCATAGCTCTTTAATTTACTTTATTCTTCTTCACACAGAAGAATTTATCTTAAAAAATAAAAAATAAAATGTACAATTCAATGGTTTTTAGTATATTCAGAGCTGTGCACCCACGACCACGCGCAATTTCAGAGTATTTTCATGACCCTAAAAAGAAATACTGGCCCATTAGTAGTCTCTCTCCATTTTCCTCCAACCCTATCAGCCCATGGCAACCACAAACTTATTTTCTGTCTCATAGATTTGCCTATTCTGGACATCTCATATAAATGGAATCAGACAATATGTGGTCCTTTTTGACTAGCTTCTTTCAATTAGCAGAATATTTTCAAGATTCATCCAGGTTGTAGCAGGTATCAGTTGTTTTATTTCTAAATCTGCCCTTTCCCCCCCTTTATTTTCCCCTCCAAAATATTACTGATTCCTTCTTTTGTATCAGGGTCAATTTCTTTCTGTAAAGGGCAAGACAGCAAATACTTTAGGTTGTGTGTGCCACACACTCTGTCTCCACTACTCAACTCTCCTAATATAGCAGGAAAGCAGCCACAGACAATACATGAGCGAATGAGTATTGCCATGTTCCAATAAAATTTTATTTTCCCTGCAGGCCATAGTTTGCTAACCCATTTTATATATTTAATCATTTAAGGATACTTTATAGTATCAACCAAGAAGTTCTGTTAGCCAGTATTCTCTGGGTTCTAATCCTGTTATATCTGCTGATTCTCACTCATAGAGGAAATATTTCTGTATTTTATTTCAAAATTTTTTAATGGTGAGTTCATCTTAAGTGGAGCTAGATCTATGGAAACTCTGTTTGGTTTGGACTGAGAAGTTCCAAGAGTTTTATACTTTCTCCTAAAAGGCATCTCAGGAGAACTAGCAGTCCCAAACTGCTTTTTAATGTTTTCCTCAGTTTGGGGGTTCCTGAATATATGATGCAGTTATAAATTCCACTGTGAGATTCTGTTTTTGTTTAACTGAGAGCCCAACCTGAGATGAATTAGTTTCTTTGTCCTTTCTTGTCAGTGGGAACATTTTTTTCCCTCCTAGTCTCCCCTTTCCCTGATGGTGCAGGCTTGATCTTGGCTTCAGGTTGAGGGTTTCAGTTCTAACTCAGTTTCCTGTGGACTAAATGCCTTAACTCATAAACTCAGGATTATTGTCCAACCAAGGTTTATAGAAACGTCTAAACTTTCCCATCATCCCAAGATGGTTATACCATAGTTCATGCTACCCTATTGGATTTTAGTCCATGAGTAGCCCTTGGGGATTTTATCTCCTGCAAGCTCAGTTATGCACTTACAAATACAACGGTTATATTTTATTCAGTATTTCTGCATATTTTGAGCAAAATGTTTTTAGGTTATGTCTGTCATTTAGCCAGAGGCTACTGTATTACTCAAAGAAAAATTACTGAAGTATTCAGAAGATAAGCCCTATTCCTTATGAAGATATATAACTCTCAATATTAAACCATGTATAACATTAAACCAGGCTTATAAATTGGTATGATTTTAAATGAGTTCAAGAACATTTCAGGCATCTTGTTAAAGCTCCAGAAGACATATTTAACCCATAAATATATTAAATATTATTGCATTAGGAAAAAAACAACAGCAATAGCATTTAATCGCTCACTGAAAAGGAACATGGAACTTACAGTGCATTGTCAAATTTCCCAGAGCTATACTGATGAACATAAGAAGAATAAGCCAAGTCTTCATGGGCTGTTGCTACATGGATATTTTTGCCACCAAACACTGACTGCCGAATGTCAAGGGCTGCCTGAAAGTATAATGAAAATAGTTATTACTATAAATCCTTAGAAAACACAACCCAGTAATATTAAGCATCCTAGTAATTTAAATATATGTTCTACATATCAATACCATCAGTTTGGAAGCAAAAATCCTGCTGTATTTAAATCGTAAGAGAACATAAAAGTCACGAAAAGGCCTGATTTTCTGAAGACTGAATCTAACTTAAAAGACAATGATTTCACAATAAAAATTATTCATATGTCTGAGAATTACAGCAGTGTTTTTCTATGTCCTTCTTCATAAGTGAAACATAAAATCAAGGATACTTTGTCCTGAGTGATGGTGTAACACATTTACCTAAGAATGACTAATACAAGGCCTAAAGTAATTGTTATCAACCCTCCTTGCTATTATGAAGACAGCTATAAGGACTCATGCTAAATCAACAATGAAGACAAATCTTCATTTGGGCAAATGAAAAATGGAAAAGTACTCTTGTATATGAGCCCACAAGCCAAAAATTGTTTTCCTCGATGGTTCTCTGTAATTCCTAAAACATTTACTTCTAATGCTTCTACATATTATTTAGTAAAAGAATGATGTCCCATATATGAGGAGGGACTCAGAAAGAGTTATTTTTAGAGAGTGGGTGATACGCCGCAAACAAAAACATGTCAGCAAGTCAATTCAGGTTGAAAGAAAAAAAGCATTAACTGTTAACATACCTGATAAATTGCAACAGACTGACAGATATTATCTACATTGAGTAAGTAGAACCCATAATCTAGCAGTGTATCAGAATATTTTGGGTGTTTGGATCCAAAATGATCCCTATAAAAAGATATAAAACTATTAGGATATAAAGTAGAGAGAGACAATCTGAAATGGTATTTTTAGTAACAATCACCTACCGTGCCAAATACACTGCATGTTTAATTAACTGTTCTGCTTTCTTAAATTCACGTTTTACAACACAAGCCTAAGGATAAAGTGAAAAATGATTAAATAACTCTCAAACAGTTAATTAGTGTGCTAAAGTAAGTAGATTAGACAGTCAGACTACGATGGTCCCAAAAAAAAAAAAAAAAAAAAAAAAAAAGCAAGCATCCTCCAACATAAATAGAAGGGCTCTATTTGTAATTTCTTCCCTTCCAGGTACTCGAAAATTCTATTATAAACAGACCTTACATATCCTGGGAAATTATATAGTTTAAAATTTTGACATTCATGCCCAATACAAACCTGTTATAACAAAGTTACCTTACAAAGATGGTGTACTCCCATCCTTCCAGATTATACAGTAAATAAGTGGGGGAAGGGCTCAACACAGAATTTTCTAAGCTACTTAATTTATATCCTAGTTCTAGAGTGGCTTAAATATCTTGTAATCTTCATCTTTCAGTTTTAAAATGCATAGAATTTCAAGTTTTTCTAGTCTTAAAATATTTCGATTCATGAAAATGGCCAGTTTTCAAACCCTAAATATTATCTGCATATAGAAATATAAATCTTGCACGTAATTAAACTGTCGTCTTTACATTAACTGCATTTCTAATGTTTTAAATTAATTAAAATGTATTAATCTCTCTCTTGTGGCTCTGATAATAATCTGAATACTTATGCTATATACTTCTCTAATAAATTTACCTAGTAAGTCTCACAGAAATCTTAGACTCTTCTAAATCTATAATTTTAGAATCTTTCTTCTAAGTGAAATTTCCATAATTAAAACCAACCAAAATGAAATATTCAAAATAAGAAAAACTCTAGGTAGAAAGAATACATCTGAAAAGTACATCAATGCTTTAAAACCTTAGTACACCAAACCAGCAATTTAAAAATAAATGGCTTCGGGGCGCTTGGGTGGCTCAGTGGGTTAAAGCCTCTGCCTTCAGCTCAGGTCATGATCCCAGGATCCTGGGATCAAGCCCCACGTCGGGCTCCCTGCTCAGCGGGAAGCCTGCTTCCCTCTCTCTCTGCCTGCCTCTCTGCCTACTTGTGATCTCTCTCTGTCAAATAAATAAATAAAAATCTTTAATATATATAAATAAATAAATAAATAAATAAATAAATGGCTTCAAAGAGTGAATGCATTTATCTATAGAATAAGAAGAAACTAAGGAGAAAATCAAGTAAGTACCACTCAGCAGCTCAAGTACAGGGAGCTGTGACACTGTAAGGCTGCACACTATCACTCCCAGACTTAATACTAGGCCACCCTTTAGGAGATAAATTACTAAGTCCATACAATTGTGGCATAAGGAATTCAGGTCCCTGGAAAGGTTAAGAAAAACAAAAGCAAACTCAAGCTAGAGTAGCACCAAAATACTGCCTCAATCTATAGTTCAGTGACTGAATTACCAAAATGATTTTTTTCATGGGTTTTCTAGGTATAGGAAAATTAGCTCAATTCTATATGCAGATTTCTACATCTGGTTTCTAAAACTAAGCACAGAAACTCAGAAAATAGACCTTGTTAGTCCATGGAGTATGCAATATCTAACTTGTTAAATAACAGGTTAATTAAAACAAATTTAAAGCTGGCTAAATTCTTTAATTCATTAATAAATTTTAACATTATATTCACCTTAGAAGCTTGTCTTAAAACATCCACCACAACTTTGACTGGTAAGCCCACTGTGATTTCTTTCATTGCCTCAATGCACCATTTGTAAGCCTAAAAAAATATTTACACAAGAGCAAAAACTGATCAATCAAATTGACAATAATGAAATGACTGTGTATCTTTCTACCCAACTTTCAAGTACTTGAATAAGAATACATACAAAGTATTTCCACTTCCAATTTTCTGAGAGTAAGTTTTCTTGAAAGTTTCAAGTTTGTTAAACTTTTCTGTGAATAAGTGACACACAGGAAGTCAGGGGCATGTTCTCTCTTGCCCACAAGCCTTTGCATATACTGGTCCCTCTGCCTTACATACACTTGTCTTTCCTGAACTAAACCCACATAACTTATTTCCCAGGTTTCAGCCCTAGATTAAGCTTACTGTACTTTCTTCCCCTACTGTCATCTTATTATTTTGTATCTTAACTGCCTGTTTAGTTGAGTGCTTAGTTTGTGAGAGTTATTGTTCTAAGTACTTTATGTACACATTTAACTGACACACCAGTCCTACCAGATGCATACTATTATGGAAAACAGAGGTTAAGTACCAGGCAATGTGCTAGCACCTAGGTATCCACTGGGCAGCGATAAAGTATGTCCTTCCTCTCCTAGTGGTTAGTGGGGTAAAAAAAAAGGGCAAAACAAATTACTTTGGATAGTAAGAACTGTTTCAAAGAAACAAAACATTATAGGGGTCCCTGGGAGGCTCAGTTGGTTAAGTGTCTGCCTTCGGCTACGTCACGATCCCAGGGTCCTGGGACTGAGTCCCGCATCAGGCTCCCTGCTCAGCCTGCTTCTCCTTCTTCCTCTTCCGTTCTCCCTACTTGTGCTCTCTCGCTCTCTCTGTCAAATAAATAAATCTTAATAAAATAACATAAAAGGGGGTGCCTCAGTGGCTTAGTCGTTAAGTGTCTGCATTCAGCTCAGGTCATGAACCCAGGGTCCTGGGATTGATTGAGACCTACAGCGGGCTCCCTGCTCTGTGGGAAGCCTGCTCCTCCTTCTCTCACTCCTGGTGCTTGTGTTTCCTCTCTCTCTCTCTGTCAAAGAAATAAAATCTTAAAAAAAAAAAAAAAAAAATTATAAGGAATGGGGGAGGGAGAGGAAAAATTGGAAAATATTTAAAAAAAAAAAAATTTGTTACCCTCTGCAAGTTTCCTTCTCTTCATTCCACCTAAAAGATTCCAAAGTAATTTTGATGTAAAAATGAAATGTATGTGATTTAGGCCCAAAAACCTGGTTGTTTTTAAGATGTTAAATAAGCACTGGGGCATCTGGGTGGCTCAGTTGGTTGAGCAACTGCCTTTGGCTCAGGTCATGATCCTGGAGTCCTGCATCATCCAGCATCAGGCTCCCTGCTCAGTGGGGAGCCTGCTTCTCCCTCTGACCCTCCCCCCTCTTGTGCTCTCTCCCTCTCATTCTCGCTCTCTCAAATAAAAAAAACTTAAAAAAATGTTAAATAAGCAGATTTTGTTTCAGAGTAGTAAGTTAAAATCTTCAAAACTGTAGACTGTAATACTTCTTTAAAATATTTACTTCCTTGGGGAAGGATATACTTCCCTTCCACATTAAAGATGATAGTGGCCACATGATTTCCTTTGGCCAATTAAAAACTTAATTAAAATATGAAAGTGAAATGAGCAATTTCTATTGGGAAAAAGCTTCAAGAGCAAGTAGTACTTCCTCAAGATGCTTTTGCCTCTGCTCTAAGGCTGCTAATGTTTTAGACAGAGGATGCTCCATCACATGGGGTTTTGATGATCAAATGTGAACAGAATGTTAAGCAGAACCATAGGCATCCCAAGACAGGATGCAGCATGAACAAGAAATAAATTTATCTCTCCACGTCACTGCTAGTTTGTCAGCATAGCCTAGCCATGTTAGTATCAAAATACAGTGATAATTCATCAAACTGTATCTTCAATATTTGTGTACTTTTCTGTAGCTATCAATGACAAACTTTTCTATATATATTTTTAAAGATTTTATTTATTTGTCAGAGACAGAGAGCGAGCACAAGCAGGGGGAGCATCAGGCAGAGGGAGAAGCAGGCTCCCCACTGAGCAGGAAGCCTGATGCGGGGCTCAGTCCTAGGACCCTGAGATCATGACCTGAGTCCGAAGGCACACACTTAACTGACTGAGTGACCCAGGTGGCCCAAAACTTACCTATATTTAAAATAAACTATTTGGGGTGCGTGGCTGGCTCAGTCAGTAGAAAATTGACTACTGATCTTGGGGTCATGAGTTCAAGCCCCACACTGGCCATAGAGCTTTAAAAAAAAAAAAAGTGAGCTCCTATGCATAGATATATAAAAATGGTGGGAAACAAGATAGGAATGGGAGGGAGACAAACCATTAAGAGAATCTTAATCTCACAAAACTGATGGTTGGTGGCAGTCGGGGGGTAGGGATAGGGTGGCTGGGTTATGGACATTGGGGAGGGTATGTGCTACGGTGAGTGCTGTAAAATATGTAAGCCTGATGATTCACAGACCTATACCCCTAGGGCAAATACATTATACGTTAATAAAAATAATTTTAAAAATTATTTTAAAAAAAGATGGTGAGGCACCTGAATAACTTTTAAAGTAGACATTTCTAATACTCAAACTGTTGTATATCGTACTCTCATTTCCAGTAAAGTCAGCTATCCACACAAAGGCCTTCTGTGAATGGGGTTTTTTGTTCTTGGTGTGTGAAAATAAAAGAAAAAGGCTGAGTTTTATATTTGGATAAGCTATAGAACAATTACTGCACAGAGGGAGCAGCAAAACAGAACTAATTCAGCAGATATAGGAATTCATCATCAAAAATAACCAGAAGAACATACCTAACACCCCTCTAAGAAATTGTAGGCTTGTTGATAAGGGTTTTAGATTTTTACATGCAGATTTGATGCCTTCTTATATGGATATTAAGGATAATTCTAGCATCAGGGCTGCACAACCTCACTTTATAATCATTCTAGAATTTTCTAGCTTTACCTCTAATTATAATTTTCCTTTAAATATGGAATATTAGTGGAGCAAAAATCAAGACAGGCATAATTGTAAAATATGAAAGCTAAATGACTGTTATGTGGCAACATAAATAATTACTCTTCCATACAGAAAACAACCAAGTAAAGGAGTTAAAAAGACATAGGTTACTTCTCAATTATGTATTCATTAGCACTGAAGCATGAAATTAATAGCATAAAGACAGGAGTGAAACTATCTTTATTGTAAGGCAGAGGAAGGAGCAAAACAATGCGAAAAAGTATAAATAAAATCTAGCTTCCCATTAGAATGAATGCCTTCAACTTCTGAGAGTTCACCCAGAGCTACACATCCAAAAAAAAGGGATCTATTAAGGGTTGATTTGACAGAGCATGAGGGAGAGGAGATGCAACATGGGGGGTTAAGGGGGTAGGAGAAGAGTAAATGAAACAAGATGGGATTGGGAGGGAGACAAACCATAAGTGACTCTTAATCTCACAAAACAAACTGAGGGTTAATGGGGGGAGGGGGGTTGGGGGGGGTAGGATTATGGACATTGGGGAGGGTATGTGCTATGATGAGTGCTGTGAAGTGTGTAAACCTGGCGATTCACAGACCTGTACCCCTGGGGATAAAAATATATTATATGTTTATAAAAAATAAAATTAAAAAAAATAATAATAATTTAGATAGAGATTTGGTCAAATTAAAAACAAAAATAGGCCATAAACCATACACGTGTATGTTTAAAATACATCTCATAGTATACTCTTTCTGCCTCATTTCAAATATTCCATTACAAATGTGTAGTGCTTTAAGTAAACCTGATATGTGAGAATAAAATCTATTAAGACTAATACAAGATTATATGATTTTTCCTTTTTCTAAAATTGAGGTACAGTTGACACACAATGTTATAGTAGTTTCAGGTGTACAACACAATGACTGGACAATTTTATACATTATGCTATGCTCACCACAGTAAGTGTAGTTACCATCTGTCACCATATAACATTATTACAATATTATTGACTATATTTCCTATGTTGTACTTTTCATCCCTATGACTTACTTATTTTGAAACTGGACATTATCTCTTAAATACCCTTTACCTATTGTGTCCATCACCCCCTGCTCAGGTTCCTCTGTTTTTTTTTTGTTGGTGTTGTTTTATGTTTGTTTTGATTTTACCATCTGTTTATAGCTACTTGCTGGTCACAAAGAAATGCGTTTCAAAACACTCACCTCATCATAGTGACTCTTTGCAAAGAGTAGTGCACACAGTTCTCCATACAGTGCAGCTTTGTTTGCTTGCTGACCATGTTTTGAGAGTTTATCCATATATGTCTGAGCTAACTTAAATGTTTCTTCACCCAAGTGATATTTGCAGTTTCCATTTCGCACATGAAGCAACCTGCAAAGGCAGAAATAACATTCCTCTATTTTTGATATTTCCAGCGTGGTCCTCTTACAGGTCACCTCTTAGTACCCAAATGAGTTAAGGAAACTAGATGCAAAAAGTGAGGCAGCACTGGAAAGTAAAAGTCTGGGCCAAACCAAGATTGACTAAAACACATAAGAGTATACGCTCTTTCCAGAAAACTACCCATGATTAATTCTCACCCAACTCTGCTTCTTTTTCTTCTTTAAATACTTCGTGTACTTTGTGCACTCAGTATGTGCTATATCTAATACTTAACTCTTTCTATTCCAAATCCAAAAGTAATACAGTCTCATTATAAAAATTTAAGAAAACAATGAAAAAAATAAAATCAACATGAAATACTATTACCTACCATTACTTTCTGTTCTTTTTTCTAGTATATTTGTAGAACACCTGATCAGTAACCTTATCTCATGTTGCTTCTTAAGTGCTCATTTTTGTTATCTTTCCAATAAGGTAAGTTCACTGAAAATAGTGGTATTGTCACCTATTTCTTTTAAAACATTTATCTTCTATGGTGGAAAAATACAGAGTTCTTCACACAGAGTAACTGTAAAACCATGTTAGACTATCTAATGATATGTAAGAAGAGTAGGTCAGACTGTGATACCAACAGACTATACATCTGTACAGACTATGGAAAACAGAACAGTGAAGACCAGACATGTATCTGTGTATATATTATAAAGCTGGCTAACAACATTATGTGCATGTATCACTGCCAATACAATTTTCTGAAAATGCTCAGTCCTGAGCGGGAGGAGGATACCCAATGAACTAAGCCACCCAGGTGCCCCAATGATCAGGAACTTCTTACAAAAAAAAAAAAAAGATTTGAGAGAGAGTGTGTGAGCTCCTGCAGGAACTTCTTAAAGGTACTTCTCAGGGTAGACAGGGAAGAATTCTCTTAACAAGTTAATATTTGAGTTGACATCTAAATGATGAAGCAATCATGTAAAGGTCTGGAAGGAAGCATGTTTCAAACAGAAGGAATAACTGGGGTGCCTAGGTGGCTCAGTCAGTTGAGCATCAGACCCTTGATTTCAGCTCAGGTCATGACCTCAAGGTCCAGAGATCAAGCCCCATGTCTGCCTCCAAGCTCAGAGGGGTATCTGTTTGGGGTTTTCTCTATCCTCCTTCTGCCCTGCCCCCCACTCTCTAAAATAAATAAATAAATCTTTTTAAAAAATTCCTTCAAACATAAGGAATAACCAGTGCAAAGCCCTGAGAAAGGGAAAAAAAATTCTGGCATAATCAAAGAACAGACAAAAGTCCAACCTGTCTAAGATATTATGAATAAAGGATTATAACAAAGAGGTGAAAAAGCAGAGATTAAAAAGATTTTATAGGGCCTTGCCAGTCAGGGTAAGAAATTTTAGTTGTAATGGTGAGACGATTTGATTTATCCTCTAGTACAATGCTAACAGAATTTCCTGAAATGCTGTGGATCTGCTCTGCTCAATCTAGTAGCCTCTAGCCACAAGTGGCTACTGAGTATCTCAAATGTGCCTACTGTGACTAGGGACTGATTTTTAATTTTTAACTTGAATTAATTTAAATAGTCATACACCAGGTTGATGGTTATCATACTGGACAGTGCAACTCTCGAAGGATTGCTCTGGCTATGCTGTGGAAAATGGATTACAGGGGCACCTGGGTGGCTCAGCTGGTTAAGCGGCTGCCTTCAGCTCAGGTCATGATCCCAGGGTCCTGGGATGAATTCCCGAATCAGGTTCCCTGATCTGCAGGGAGACTGCTTCTCCCTCTACCCCTCCCCCTGCTCTTACTACTTACTGCTCATGCTCATGCTCCCCCTCTCTTAAATAAATATCTTTTTTTTAAAAAAGGGAGGAAAAAAAAAAGAAAAAGAAAATGGATTACAATAAAGCCAAGAGTGGAAGTAAGGCAATCAGGACAGAGGTATTACAACAATCCAGAAGAAAAAAAGACCTTGAGAAAAAAGGATAGGTACTGGAGATAGAGTTGACAGTTACCCAAACAGTTCAATAGGAAAAGGTTAAACTCAAGCATAGGTTGTAAATTCACAGAATGAAAAGAACTGTATTAACCTCTTATTTCTACTATTGCATTTCCAACAACATTCACTGTAGATATTCCTCCTAAAAATAATTTCTAGAAATTATTTAATAATTGGCATATGATGGGGTAGCAAATTAAATATGTTAAGACAGAAAAGCACAGCTTGTTATCTTCTCCAGTCCCTGCTGGTTGTCTCTTGAAACAAAAGGGCAAATTAAACATATGGAGTCTCTTCAGGGTCTGTACATCCATCTGGGCTGACACAAAGCAGGATAAAGGATCCAAGAAACTTTTGGTCAACTGAAGATCTAATTTTGCCTAATACTCAGCCTAACAAAAAGGCAGGTTCTCAAGGTTCTCCAAATGTGGTTCTCCAAAGTAAGCATAGTATTTTATTATTTTTAAAAACGATTTTATTTTTAAGAGCAGTTTTAGGGATGCCTGGGAGGCTCAGTCAGTTAAATGTCTTAACTTTGGCTCAGGTCATGATCTCAGTCAGGGTCTTGGGATCAAGCCCTGCGTGGGACTCACCATTCAACAGACAGTCTGCTTGTCCCTCTACTGCCATAACCCTGCCTGAGCTTTCTCTCTCAAATAAATAAATAAATAGATAAATAAATAAAATTTTTTTAAAAAGGGCAATTTTAGGTTCATAGTAAAACTGAGCAGAAGGTACAGAGATTTCTCATATACCCTCCTTCCTGCAGTATTAGTTTTATGAAAAAATACAATTACATCTACCTGATCAAGAGCTATTGTCAAAAACAATTACATTTAATTGGTTAAATAACTCACTGTTTGAATGGCAAATATACAAGTTTTTGTTTTTTAAGATTTTATTTTTAAGTAATCTCTACACCCAACATGGGGCTCAAACTTAAAACCCTGAGATCAAGAGTTGCATGCTCTACTGACTGAGGCAGCCCAACACCCCTATAAGTTTAGAAGTCATTAATTTATGAATATATTCACTGTGAGACTAAGCAAGATGACTAGGCCGAACCTCGTAAGACACAACAAAAATAAATACATTAAAAGTAAATGTGAAAAAAAATCATCTCCTCCTCCTTACAAGAGTATGTCTCCAAGAACTATTTAACAATTTTGGAAATAAATGATAGACTAAAATTCTTTTCTATTGTGGTAAAATATGCAACAAAAAATCTGCCATACTAACTATTTTAAGCATATACTTCAGTGCCATTACAGTCACCATATTGTGTGACCATCACCACCATCTATTTCCAAGACTTTTCATCACTCCAAAAAGAAACTCTGTAATAAGCAATCGATTCCCATATACCCTTTACCCCACCTGCACCATTTACACTCCCATTAAGGATCCCAATTTCTTCACATTCTTGATAACACTTAACTTTTATTTTTAATTACAGCCATCCTGGGTATGTGTAAAGTGGTATCTCATGTTTGATTTTCATTTCCCTAATGAAAAACTATGCTGAGCATCTTTTGGCTATTTTATCTTCTTTTTTGGACAAATGTGTCCTTGAGGCCTTTACCCATTTTTTAATCAGGTTGTTGTTGTTGAGCAGTAGCTCTTGATATATTCTGGATACTACACCCTTATCTGATATATGATCTGCAAATATTTTCTCCAATTCTCCAATTCCACTTTCTTGATAATATCCTTTGATATACATAGTTTTTTATTTTGATGAAATCCAACTAATCTGTGAACAGAAATGGTTTCACTTCTTTCTTTCCAATATGGATGCCATTTTTTCTTTTTCTTGTTTAATTCCTTTAGTTAGAACTTTCAGGGCAATGTTTAATAATAGTAGTGAAAGCAAGCATCCTTGATCTTGTTCTTGATCTTAGGGACAAAGCTTTTCAGTGTTTCACCAGTGAGTATGATGTCAGCTGTAGGTTCTTCAAAAATACTATCATGTTGAGGAACTCTTCTGCTCCCGGTTTTTTGAATGTTCGATTATGAAAAGGTGTCAGATTTTGTCAAATGTCTTTTGTGTCTATTGAGAAGATTCTGTTTCTTTCCTTCTTTTTAAAATTTTTATTACTTTTTGGGGCGCCTGGGTGGCTCAGTGGGTTAAAGCCTCTGCCTTCGGCTCAGGTCATGATCCCAGGGTCCTGGGATCGAGCCCCGAATCGGGCTCTCTGCTCAGCAGGGAGCCTGCTTCCTCCTCTCTCTGCCTGCCTCTCTGCCTGCTTATGATCTCATAAATAAATAAAATCTTAAAAAAAAATAAAATAAAATTTTTATTACTTTTTAAAGATTTTATTTTTGCAAGACAGCTAGTGAGCGTGTGCGCATAAGCAGGGAGAGAGGCAGGCAGAGGCAGAAGCAGGCTCCCCACTGAGCAAGCAGCCCAATGAGGGACTCAAAGACCTGAGCCAAAGGCAGATGCTTAACCAACTGAGCCACCCAGGCATCCCTCCCTCCTTTCCTTTTTTTTTTTTTTTAACGATTTTAATTAATGATCTGACAGAGAGATACAGCGAGAGACACAGTGAGAGAGGAAACACAAGCAGGGGAAGTGGGAAAGGCAGAAGAGGCTTCCTGTGGAGCAGGGAGTCTGATGCGTGACTCCATCCCAGGACCCTGGGATCATGACCTGAGCCGAAGGCAGTTGCTTAACCAACTGAGCCACCCAGCACCCCCATTGACTTTCTTATGTCAATCATTGTTGCATTCCTGGAATAAATCCCAATTACTATAGTATACAATCCTTTTACATGCCATTAGTTTGATGTGCTATTACTCTGTTGAGAATTTTTTTTTTAACTTAAAAAAATTTTTTAAATTAACATATAATGTATTATTAGCCCCAGGGGTACAGGTCTGTGAATCACCAGGTTTACACACTTCACTGCACTCACCCTAGCACATACTTTCCCCAATGTCCATAACCCCATCATCCTCTCCCTACCCCCTCGCCCCGGCAATCTGTTGAGAATTTTTACATCTGTATTCACAGAGGATATTATCCTGTAATTTTCTTCTCTTGTGATGTCTTTTTTCTGACTTTGATATCAGGGTAATGCTGGCCTCATAGTATGAGTTAGGAAGTGTTCCTTCCTCCTTAATTTTTTTGAAAACGCTGAGAAGGTCTGGTGTCATTTCTTTAAATGTTTGGTAGCACTCATTTGATGAGAAAGTCTGGTCCTGGAGTTTTCTTTTTGGAAGGTTTTTTGGTTTTATTTAGGTTCCATGCACACTGTGGAGCCCAATGTGGGGCTCGAACTGGAAATCGAGACCTTGAGCTAAAATCAAGAGTTGGATGCTTAATCAACTGAGCCAACCAGGTGACCCACGTTTGAAGGTTTTGTTGTTGTTGTTTTTTTATTTTTTATTTTTTATTTTTTTATTTTATTTTTTTAAAGATTTTATTTATTTATTTGTCAGAGAGAGAGAGGGAGAGAGAACGAACACAGGCAGACAGAGTGGCAGGCAGAGGCAGAGGGAGAAGCAGGCTCCCCACAGAACAAGGAGCCCGATGCGGGACTCGATCCCAGGACGCTGGGATCATGACCTGAGCCGAAGGCAGCGGCTTAACCAACTGAGCCACCCAGGCGTCCCTGTTGTTTTTTTTTAAAGATTTTATTTATTTATTTGACAGACAGAGATCACAAGTAGGCAGAGAGGCAGGCAGAGAGAGGAGGAAGCAGGCTCCCCGCTGAGCAGAGAGCCGGATGCGGGGCTCCATCCCAGGACCCTGGGATCATGACATGAGCCGAAGGCAGAGGCTTTAACCCACTGAGCCACCCAGGCGCCCCCGGAAGGTTTTTGATTACTGATTCAATCTCTACTTGCTATAGCTTTGTTGAGATTTTCTTGGGCCAATTTAGGTAATTTTGTTCATTTCTAGGGATTTGTTCATTTCAGCTACAGTATCTATTCTGTTGGCATACAGCTGTTCATAGGATTCTCTTATGTTTCCATTTCTGGAAGGCTGGTAGTGAAACCTTGATTTGTATTTCTGATTTTAGCCATTTGCATCTTTTTTGGGGGGCGGGTCAGTCTAGTGTGGTTTTAATTTTACATGTGGGAGCAAAGCACTGTGAGATGTTGCAGACACTGCTAGCTCCTTAACTAAAAGCCATTTTTCCACCTCATGCTTTGTTGGCAGGAGCCTGATTTTGTTTAGGCATTGATCTCTTTCTCATAGGACTCAAGAATAAATCATGAGTAGTTTAAGCCAATCACAATGTAGTGGTCCTACTCTGCTTGTCAGTGATTGATTCAGAGGTCACCAAATGACCTAGCTCTGGCCAATGAGATTCCAAGACAGGTGGCTGGGTGGTTCCTGAGAAAGTTTCTCTATCATTAAAGATAAAATGCAGAGCTTGGAAAGGAAGTCTTTCTTCTGCCAGGCAAAATGAAATGAGTATGTGGTATTTCAAACCGTGGCAGCATTCTTAACAAATACTTGGGAGCTGGTCAATGTCAAAACCAGCACTGAGGACAGAGAAGCAGACATAAGGATAAAATTTAGTTCCTTGATAACCTATAGAATTATGAATTAACCTATCCCGGGGCACTCAATATTGTATTAATTATCTTTTTATCAAATTCTGGGTATTTTTGGGGTGCCTGGGTGGCTCAGTGGATTAAAGCCTCTGCCTTTGGCTCAGGTCATGATCTCAGGGTCCTGGGATCAAGCCCCGCATCAGGCTCTCTGCTCAGCAGGGAGCCTGCTTCCCTCCCTCCCTCTCTGCTTCGCTCTCTGCCTGCTTGTGATCTCTGTTTGTCAAATAAATAAATAAATAATATTCAAATTCTGGGTATTTTTAGGGTATGCTACTTATATAGGTAGCTGCTATCTTATTTGCTACACATGGCATTTTTAACCTTTTTAGTGGACTTATTTTATTAGCAATATCCTATTTCTATCAACTAATGGTTTTTATCCTGAATTTTGCTTTATTGTTAATACTGTTAATATATATATATTTTTAATCTTATTTATTTGACTGAGAGAGATCACAAGTAGGCAGAGAGGCAGGCAGAGAGAGAGGAGGAAGCAGGCTCCCCGCTAACCCATGTTTATACTATTTTAACAATATATAGCTGGATTTCACTTTTTAAACCTCTTTGTAGATACCACATTTACACAGAGGAATTGAGCCCATTTACATATACTGTGATGATAGTCAAATTTGGTTTTAAGCTTATCATATTATTGTTCATTTTTCATTAGTAAGCTTTTTTTCATTTATCATAATTATTTCCTCTCTTCTGGTTTTATCTCGTTTGGACAGTTTTCCTATCATTCTTACCCCCACTACCACTACCCTAATTTAAAATGTCTATCACAGGGGCGCCTGGGTGGCTCAGTGGGTTGGGCCTCTGCCTCCGGCTCAGGTCATGGTCTCGGGATCCTGGGATCGAGCCCCGCATCGGGCTCTCTGCTCGGCAGGGAGCCTGCTTCCCTTCCTCTCTCTTTCTCTGCCTGCCTCTCTGCCTACTTGTGATCTCTGTCAAATAAATAAATAAAATCTTAAAAAAAAAAAAAAAGTCTATCAAACTTTTCCATTATATAAATTATAATATCCAACCCTAGCACTGATAAGGTTTGAACATGATAGCCATTCCTACTCTATTGAGCTTTTATTTGTTTAGAGAAATTCCGTAAGTATTTTCCTCAGCTCAAGTACATTAAGTATACTGTACCCTATATATTTGAAAAATTTATTTTACCCTAAAAGTTGGTGAGGTATAGCATTTTCTCTCGATAATGGAGATATTTCTATCTTATAGCTTCCAATTTCTATGTATTCTTTGATTTTAGGAACTCCAATTGTGTGGGGCTCAGGGTTCTTTTTAAATCTAGATTCAAGTCTTTCTCCCACCAGTTCAGAAAGTTCCTTTCCACACTTAAAATTAAAAAATACACTAATACAATAATTGTGGTTATTTCTGGACAACAGGATTATAGATAATATTTATTCTCTTCCTAATTTTCTGTTACGTACATAGAAAAAATAAAGACAGTAAGAAGAAAGCATTACCTCGAAACTACCTTGCCTTTCCTTTAAGTGCATCTGTTAAAAAATATACTTTTAAAGAAAACGGTTATTTATAAGTAAAATACTAATCTTCTTATACATAATTCTAGAAATGCATCAAGAGTAAAAAATAAGGGGCGCCTGGGTGGCTCAGTGGGTTAAAGCCTCTGCCTTCAGCTCAGGTCATGATCCCAGGGTCCTGGGATCGAGCCCCACATTGGGCTCTCTACTCAGCGGGGAGCCTGCTCCCCCCAGCCCTCTCTGCCTGCCTCTCTGCATACTGTGATCTCTGTCAAATAAATAAATAAAATCTTTAGGAAAAAAAAAAAGTAAAAAATAATACTCAAGAAAAACACGTATTTATTTTACCAGCAACCAGTGCATAGCACAGTTCTGAGTACACTGAGGCATTCAATAAATATTTGGTGAGTGAACAGAACACACAAGCTCTATGACAAAGTAAAAAATATTAAGCTAAGGTGATTATAGCAAGTTAACTATATTCTGGAGATGAGAGACAGGAGGCCAGACTAATGAAACATACAAATTATCACCTCAGAGATAACTGCCGGAGCATGCTTGAAGAGCTAAAACTATAAAAGCCACTAAAGACCATTAGAGTAGGATCTGTTCCAACTTACCTCACACAACATTCTACTGCACGAAACCAATGAAGCATCTCATCATGTAGAGTACACAACTGAAGACAGGATAGAAAAACTTTCTCAGCATCACTGTACCAGCCTGCATCTGAAAGAAAGCCACCTAAAGGACAAGAAAACTAGTAACTTTAAATAATTTACTAATAAATCACTTAAAAGCTAAAGTGACATGCTTAAAATGAATATCATCTAAAATGAAAACAACCATAGTATTCAAGTTCTGTGTCTGGCCCAAAACAAAGATACTGTAAAACAAAACAAAACAGAACAAAAACTTATAAACTAGGGGAATCAGAACAAAGTTGAGGCCTTGAATAAGGAGTCAAGAGTTTTAACCCTCTAAAAATACTCCATAGCCTACGAATTGACATTTTCTGGTTAATTAGCCACATATTCTAATGATCCCAACATTTTCAATTTGCAGGGCAAACATAACTTTTTAATCTCTCCATACCCAATTTCAAAGAACATCTCAATAAAGCTATCATTAAAAACAATATCTCCATCACTGCATACTTTTGGTATGAAGTTTTTTTCACTGTTTTGGTAATTTTAGGATCCAGACCAATAATGTAACTATGAGTTTGTTAGAATTTCATTCTATCTCCAAGATGTTTCTTCAACCTGGCTCAGTATAATGGCCAGATACTGGTATAAATGTTTGTGGAGATGACAGAGGACCTCAATGAACACAAACCTTCCTGCCTTTCACTTTTGTTGATTCTGAAGTTGTTCTCCCACAGATTTTTACACGACCCTCTAGGACTAAAGGCATGTCAACCTTAACATTCACTGAGATCACACACTCTTGTTATAGACATTCTCTGGTCATAATTCTTAGTTGCAATTTATATTCCGTGGGACTACCAAAGGATAAATGCTGTTTTTTTTTTTTTTTTTAGGACATTATTTATTTATTTGACACAGAGAGAGAGATCACAAGCAGGCAGAGAGGCAGAGAGAGAGGGGGAAGCAGGCTCCCTGCTGAGCAGAGAGCCCAATGCGGGGCTCAATCCCAGGACCCTGAAATCATGACCTGAGCGGAAGGCAGAGGCTCAACCCACTGAGCCACCCAGGCGCCCCATGTTTTTTTTTTTAGAAAAAAAAGTTCTGAAGTTCCTCCAGCAAACTGTCTATAACCAATACAAAGAATTATTCTAAGACTAAAGGATATGATCATGAAAATGTGTTGGCAAAGAAAGTATATGTGCATGTATATGTAAGACAGCTAAACACATACATGCAAGTGAGAAGTTAAACATGAGAGTTTGTACTGATGGATTAGTTCTGTGTCCTGATGGTATTGACAGTTGTACAAATCTTTACATGGAATTAACCTCATGGAATACCATTATGTGGAAATAACCTCAGACACTAGGGACGCCTGGGTGGCTCATTCGGTTAAGCATCTGCCTTCAGCTCAGGTCATGATCCCAGGGTCCTGGGACTGAGCCCTGCCGGGACTCCCTGCAGAACAGGGAGCCTCCTTCTCCCTCTCCCCCTGCTTGTGCTTGCTCACTCTTTCATCCTCTCTCTGACAAATAAATAAAATAAAATATTTAAAAAAAAAAAAAGAAAAAGAAACACACAGACACACATACACGAAAGTACATGCAAAAACTTGAAAATTAAATAAGGTCTATAGTCTAGTTAACAGTATTAAACCAGTGTCAATTCCTGGTTTTGATACTATGAATCTACAATCATTTAAATAAAATTTTTTTTTTAATTTTTTATTTATTTGAGAAAGAGAGAGAGCAAGCGAGCGCTGAGGGGAGAAGGTCAGAGGGAGAAGCAGACTCCCCGCAGAGCCGGGAGGATCATGACCTGAGCCAAAGGTAGTGGCCCAACCGAATGAGCCACCCAGGCGCCCCTAAAAAAAATTTTCTTAAAGGACTGTATTTATTTGAGAGAGAGAGAGAGAGAAAGCATGCAAGCATGTGCCCACAAGTAGGGGGAGTGGCAGAGGGAGAATGGGGGAGTAGCAGAATTGGAGAAGTAGGCAGGGAGCCCAATGAGGGGCTCAATCTCAGGGTCCTGGGATCATGACATGAGCCTTGGGCAGACGCCCAACCAACTGACCCACCCAGGCACCCCATCAAAAAAATTTTTAAAAAGAAAGCAAGAAGGGCAACAACAACTTTAATAAGTAGTTGCCTGAAACATACTTATCTATGTAGATTTGTAAGCAGCATATTAAATATTATATAAACCTTAAATATTTTTCTCTATGTAACATATAAAAACTTTACAGATCCCTTTCCCATGTATGTTTTCAGTATTTTCTTAACATCCTCATGAGGAAATAAAAAATTATCTTTATTTTACAGCCTGAAAACTCCAAAAGGATTAAGTCCCATGTCACAGCATATGGTAAGCTGGTCAAATAGGCTGCTGGCAGCATGACATGTAGCAAAATATATGGTATGGATCTACAGACAGGGGATTCTAATCTTTTAGTACACTACCAGCTATGTGACTAGAGCAAGTTACTTAAATTTTCTGAATCCTTCCGCATTTGTAAAGTGCTATTAATACAATCACGATACTGAAATGTGAGGATTTAGAAACATAACATTTAGGGGGCACCTGTGTGGCTGAGTCTGTTAAGCGTCTGACTTTGGCTCAGGTCATAATCCCAGGGTCCTGGAATCAAGCCCCACATCAGGCTCCCTACAGGGAGCCTGCTTCTCTCTCCCACTTGTGCTCTCTTGCTCACTCTCTCAAAAAAACAAATAAAATCTTTTTTTGTTTTTAAATAAATGCCTCCTGTAGTGTTTGGCTTAAAGTTACATTCAATAAATCACATTTAGTTTTTTTTGATGTTTTTCTCACAACCTCCTTATGTAGACTTTTGGAATGTCCTCGTTGAATCCTTTATTGTTAGTAAGTTCAATATGAGTCATATTATAGGACAAAATACTCCTCTATTTTACTATTACTTACCTAAAACAAAGCCAACTTGAATGGCTTTTTCTTTTACCGCAGCATCTGATTCTGCTATGTAAGAGCACCGCCTACTGAATGAGTAGGCCAAGACCGAAGCAACTTTCACACCATGATCCATCAAAGCCTGGAAACAATGATGAAGCAAATGTCTGCAAGGTAAGAAAAGGTTATTTTATAAAGGTAACATATCTTATAGTTTTAGAAACTGCTAGCTTTCTTTTTAAAAAATAACAGTACCATTATTTTAAAAGATGGAACAAGATAAAAAACCTTTGCTGCCTTACGAATTATGAGGCTACAATAATCCACAATTTAGCCTAGTATCTCTATTCGGAGGATCACTGAGTGATCCTTTATGTGTAAACTAAGAGCAGTAAAAAGTAAAACTAACTTTTAAAAACCAAATAATCTTATAATTCAACAATAACCCAATTTAAAAATGGGCAATGGATCTGAAACAGAGAGTTCTCCAAAGAAAATAAACAAATTACCAACAAGCACATGAAAAGATGATCAACACTATTAATCATCGGGGACATGCAAACCAAAATCACAATGAGATACCACTTCACACCCTGTAGGTGATAGTAATTCTCAAAAAGTGATGGCAAAAATATGTAAACACTGGAACTCTCATACATTGATGGTAGGAATGTTAAAATGCTATAGCACCTATGGAAAATAGTTCTGAGGTTACTAAAAAAGTTAAACATAGGGTGATCATATTTATATACCCTAGTTATGTATACAAGAGAACTGAAAACATAAGTCCACACAAAATCTTGTCCATAAATGTTCATAGCAGCATTATCAGAATAGTCAAATAGGCAAAATGTTTATCAACAGATGACTAAACAAAACACAGTATGTTCATACAATAGAAAACTATTCAGCCATAAAAGGAAAGAAGTACTGATACAAGCAACAACATGAATAAACCTTCAAAACATTATAAGAAGCCAGTTACGAAAGACCATATATTTTATGATTCTCTTTATATGATGTGTCTAGAATAGGTAAATTCAGAGACAGAAAGTTGATTAATGGTAGGCCAGGGTAAGAGGAAATAAGAAGTGACTGTTAATGGGTACAGGATTTCTTTTTGCGGTGATGAAAATGTTCTAGAATTAGAAAGTGGTGATGGTTGCAAAACCTTGTGAATACACTAAAAGCCACTGAACTGTACAATTTAAAATGGTGAATGTGGTGGTATGTGAATTATATCTCAATAAAAAATTGTAAATAACAACTGTAAATAACAGAATCACTGCTTTGAATAAAGGGGAAAAAAGTCAAACTACATGCTTTTAGTTTTACAAATATATTAAACACTTACCAAGGGATTTGGACTTGATGAAAGATAACCTGAGAGATGAAAGAGAGGTATTCCACTAAATCTTTACAATGGCCATGTTTAGAATTGTATAGAGAAATTCAAATCCCAGAAAGCTAACCTGTTCTTAAAGAACGTTGTTTTTTTTTTTTTTTAAAAGGTTATTATTTATTTATTTATTTCACAGACAGAGATCACAAGTAGGCTGAGAGGCAGGCAGAAAGAGCTGGGGAAGCAGGCTTCCCGCTGAGCGGAGAGCCCGATGCGGGACTCGATCCCAGGACCCCAAGATCATGACCTGAGCCAAAGACAGAGGCTTAACCCACTGAGCCACCCAGGCACCCCTTAAAGAATGTTTTTGAGAAAAGTTTTTCTGTAGCCTTCTTTATCAAAATGAAGTTCTCATTTATGGTTTTTTTTAAAAACAGATTTATTTTAATTATTCAACCAGCAGTTTCTCTATAATACAAAGGCCACATTTCAAAGTTACCCCTGAATACTGAAATTATGCTTATTATTTACCTGTTTATTATTACTATTATTTTTTTTAAAGATTTTATTTATTTATTTGACACAGAGAGGGAGATCACAAGTAGGCAGAGAGGCAGGCAGAAAGAGAGAGAGAGAAAAGCAGGCTCCCTGCTGAGCAGAGAGCCCGATGCGGGGCTCGATCCCAGGACCCTGGAAACATGACCTGAGCCAAAGACAGAGGCTTTAACCCACTGAGCCACACAGGTGCTCCACCTGTTTATTATTTTATCATTCTTCCCTAAAATATAAAATCCACCAAAAAGAGACACAGATTTTATTCACTGCTGTAATCCCAGATCTTCAACAGTACCTAACAAAGACTAGGCATTCAACAAGTATATACTTAGTTAATTTGTTGAACAAATGGAACTTGATAATGTTTATATTAGAGACAGCAGTATTTTGTAAAAACTACATTCTTATTTTCCTAGAGTTAGGAAAAAGAAATGGCTTTTAAAGCAAATTCTGGGAAGAATGCTAAAGAGAATAGCAAGTATAATCAAAGGCTATGTCACTATACATGTATATGGCTCTTACTACATAGTAACAACTACCATGGGAAAGATGAATTCAATCTCATTTTCTTGAACACAAAAGCAAGGTGGTACTGATGGCTTCACAATGGGAATTGCACTTAATGCCAATGAAGTACACCTAAGAAGTTACAATGGTAAAATTCAGGCATTTATAGTTTACTATAATTTTTTTTAAAAAGTGATTTTACCTTTTATCCAAAGCTCTCAATACTTTAGCAAAAACTTCCAATTCACAAAATTCACTGCCCAGTTGACATAAGCGTCCCTGTTGGTAAAGCTGAAATGAAAATGAAAAAGGTAATTTAAAAATGTTAATTTAAATTTATACTTTAGTTATACTTACGGATATAATTTAATTGACTTAATAATTGATTATTTAATGAATACTACCCCAAGTCGGTATGATCACACAGCAGTATCAGGAAACATACGTCTGCTGTCTGAGAGATATACAGCAGTAAATTAACAACTTTTTTTAAGAGGGGAGAAGGGGCAGAGGGAGAGAGACAATCTGGGGCAAGCTCTGTGCCCAGAGGCTAATCTCACAACCCTGAGACCATGACCTGAGTCAAAACCAAAAAGTCAAATGCTTAACTGACGGAGCCACTCAGGAGCCCCTAAATTAACAAATTTCTACAATTCATAAAAACATTTTAATAGTTGTATATAAAGTTAAAAGTTAATATTTATAAAATAGTATCTGGTACATGTTAAATACTACAAAGTGCTATATAATTATTTATTATATAAACTTAAAAAGTTATGGGGTGCCTAGGTGGCTCAGTCAGTTAAGCATCTGCCTTTGGCTCAGGTCATGATCTTGGGGTCCTGGGATCTAGACCCATGTCAGGTTCCCCATTCAGTGGGGGAGTCTGCTTCACCCTTTCTCTGAAATAAAAACTTTAAATAAACATAAAAAATTATATACAAGAAACTTTTAAAATTAACTTTTCTTTAAACAAAACTGATAGTTAATGTAAAATTATCAAAATCATAGCACAGATAATGTCCAAAAGCCAGAATGCTCAATATGCCCCACTAAAGGGCTCCTCAGACTACCCAAGAATCTCAGTTCAGTTCTGGGCATGACACTTTACAAGCACACCAAAAGACATCTAAAGTAATCTAGGGGGGCACCTGGGTGGCTCAGTCGGTTAAGTGTCTGCCTTCAGCTCAGGTCCTGCTCTCATGCGTCCTGGGACCAAACCCCAGGTTAGGCTCCCTGCTCAGTGGGGAATCTGTTCCTTCCTTTCCTGTTGCACCCTCCCTCTGTGCTCTCTCCCAAACTCTTTCTCGCTCTCTCAAATAAATAAAGTCTTAAAAAAATAATAATAATAAATAAAGTATTCCAGGATGAAAAAAGAACTAAAAACAAATAGTAATCCAAGATGGCAAGACTTCTAATGATGTCACAATCATTTATTCATTTTGCATTTTTAGAACTTTTGTTTTAAACATTTATTCACTTGAGAGAGAGAGAGAGAGTGCAAGTGAGTCTGTGGGAGAGGGGGCAGAGGGAGAGGAAGAGGATCTCAAGCCAACTCCACACTGAGCGAGGAACATGATCTCATGACCTGGAGATCATGACCCGATCTGAAAGCAAGAGTTAAGCACTAAACTGACTGAGCCACCTAGGCACCCCTAGAACATCTTTTTAAAAAATGACATTTTAGGGATGCCTGGTTGGTTCAGTAGAACATGCAGCTCAATCTTGGGGTTGTGAGTTCAAGCCCCACATTGGGTGTAGGGATTACTTAAAATAAAAATCTTAAAAAAAAAAAGGAAAAAGAAAATTTTAACAAATGTGTTAAATGTTTATCATTAATAATACATGCACACAGTTAAAAAGAGACAAATAAATACCTCTGCCCCACTCCAGCTTCACCAGCTTTTGAATTTATATGTATTTTATAAATACCGTGCCTTAGAAGGCTTGAATTTTGTTTTATTAATTCACTTTATAGGCACTTAACTCTTAGCTCAGTTGATAGAACATGGGTTTCAAAAAGAGGACAAGATCTAGAATTCATTTGTCAAATGGGCCATTAACTTTGTGCTAGGAAAATATACCACAAGTTCAGTCAGCTAGCTCTTGGGCCTAAATCACTAGTCTCAATGGACGCCAGGTCAAATTAGGTAGATACTTTAATGCAAATCAATAAGGACAACTCTGAAAAATCCCTAACTCCTGAAGGGAAGAACAGATAAGGGACCACCACATGCTCAGGAAGGGAAGGGAGAAATGTTATTTTCACATAAAATGGTCAGATAGTCGTATTAACAGTAAAACTTTAAAATGGATGCATTCCTAGAGATGTATAAACTACCAAAACTGGGAGTGCTGGGTGGCTCAGTGGGTTAAAGCCTCTGCCTTTGGCTCAGATCATGATCTCAGGCTCCTGGGATCGAGTCCCGCATTGGGCTCTCTGCTCAGCAGGGAGCCTGCTGCCCCCCTCCCCCCCGGCCGCCTGCCTCTCTGCCTACTTGTGATCTCCCTCTCTGTGTCAAATAAATAAATAATCTTAAAACAAAACAAAACAAAACAAAAAACAAGTACCAAAATTGAACAAGGAAGAAACAGAAAACCTGAACAGACCCATAACCAGTAAGGAGATTGAAACAGTCATCAAAAATCTCCCAACAAACAAGAGCCCAGGGCCAAAGGGCTTCCCAGGGGAATTCTACCAAACATTTAAAGAAAAATTAATATCTATTCTCCTGAAAGTGTTTTAAAAAAATAGAAATGGAAGGAAAACTGCCAAACCCATTTTATGAGGCCAGCATTACCTTGATCCCCAAACCAGACAAAGACCCCATCAAAAAATTACAGACCAATATCCTTGATGAACGCAGATGCAAAAATTCTCACCAAAATACTAGTCAATAGGATCCAACAGTACATTAAAAGGCTATTCACCACGACCAAGTGGGATTTGTTCCAGGGCTACAAAGTTGGTTCAACACCCACAAATCAATCAGTGTGATACAATACATTAATAAAAGAAAGAACAAGAACCATATGATACTCTTAATAGATGCTGAAAAAGCATTTGACAAAGTAAAGCATCCTTTCTTGATCAAAACTCGTCACAGTGTAGGGATAGAGGGTACCTACCTCAATATCATCAAAGCCATCCATGAAAAACCCACAGCAAATACCATTCTCAATGGAGAAAAACAGAGCTTTTCTGCTAAGGTCAGGAACACGGCAGGGATGTCCATTATCACCACTGCTATTTAACATAGTACTAGAAGTCCTAGCCTCAGCAATCAGACAACAAAAAGAAATTAAAGGCGTCCAAATCGGCAAAGAAGAAGTTAAACTGTCACTCTTTGCAGATGATATGATACTTTCTATGGAAAAGCCAAAAGACTCCACTCCAGATTTGCTAGAATTTGTATAGGAATTCAGTAAAGTGTCAGGATATAATATCAATGCACAGAAATCAGTTGCATTTCTATACACCAACAACAAGACAGAAGAAAGAGAAATTAAGGAGTCGATCCCATTTATAATTGCACCCAATACCAAAAGATACCTAGGAATAAACCTAACCAAAGAGGCAAAGAATCTGTACTCAGAAAACTATAAAGTATTCATGAAAGAAACTGAGAAAGACACACAAAGAAATGGAAAAATGTTCCATGCTCATGGATTGGAAGAACAGATATTGTGAAAATATCTATGCTACCTAAAGCAATCTACATGTTTAATGCAATCCCCATCAAGGTACCATCAATTTTTTTCAAAGAAATGGAACAAATAATCCTAAAATTTATATGGAACCACAAAAGACCTCGAATAGCCAGAGGAATGTTGAAAAAGAAAGCCAAAGTTGGTGGCATCACAATTCCAGACTTCAAGCTTTATTACAAAGCTGTCATCATCAAGACAGTATGATACTAGCACAAAAACAGACACACAGATCAGTGGAACAGAAAAGAGAGCACAGAAATAGACCCTCAACTCTATGGTCAACTAATCTTCAACAAAGCAGGAAAGAATGTCCAATGGAAAAAAGACAGTCTCCAACAAATGGTGCTGGGAAAATTGAACAGCCACATGCAGAAAAATGAAACTGGACCATTTCCTTACACCACACACAAAAATAGACTCCAAATGGATGAAAGACCTCAATGTGAGACAGGAATCCATCAAAATCTTTGAGGAGAACATAGGCAGCAACCTCTTCGACCTCAGCCACAGCAACTTCTTCATCAAAACATTGCCAAAGGCAAGGGAAGCAAGGGCAAAAATGAACTATTAGAACTTGATCAAGATCAAAAGCTTTTGCACAGCAAAGGAAACAGCCAACAAAACCAAAAGACAACAGACAGAATGGGAGAAGATATTTGCAAAGGATGTATCAGATAAAGGGCTAGTGTCCAAAATATATGAAGAACTTATCAAACTCAACACCCAAAGAACAAATAATCCAATCAAGAAATAGGCAGAGGACATGAACAGACTTTCTGCAAAGAAGACATCCAGATAGCCAACAGACACATGAAAAAGTGCTCCACATCACTCGGCATCAGGGAAATACAAATCAAAACCACAATGAGATACCACCTCACACCAGTCAGAATGGCTAAAATTAACAAGTCAGGAAATGACAGAAGCTGACGAGGATGCAGAGAAAGGGGAACCCTCCTACACTGTTGGTGGGAATGCAAGCTGGTGCAGCCACTCTGAAAAACAGCATGGAAGTTCCTCAAAAAGTTGAAAATAGAGCTACCCTATGACCCAGCAATTACACTACTGGGTATTTACCCTAAAGATACAAATGTAGTGATCCGAAGGGGCAGGTGCACCCGAATGTTTATAGCAGCAATGTCCACAATAGCCAAACTATGGAAAGAACCTAGATGTCCATCGACAGATGAACGGATAAAGAAGATGTGGTATATATATATACAATGGAATACTATGCAGCCACCAAAAGAAATGAAATCTTGCCATTTGTGATGACGTGGATGGAACTAGAGGGTATTATGCTGAGTGAAATAAGTTAGAGAAAGACAATTATCATATGATCTCCCTGATATGAGGAATTTGAGAGGCAAAGTGGGGGTTTGAGGGGTAGGGAAGGAAAAAAATGAAAGATGGGATCAGGAGGGAAACAAACCATAAGAGAAAACTATACTCTCACAGAACAAACTGAGGGTTGCAGGGGGGGAAAGACAGGGTGGTTGGGTTATGGACACTGGGGAGGGTATGTGCTAGGGTGAGTGCTGCGAAGTGTGTAAGCCTGATGAGTCACAGACCTGTATCCC